CTCATTTATCGTGTACATATTTAATAAATTGGTGAACTGAACAAACTTTGCTATGAGGTGAGCATTTGTTTGACACCCAGACCCCAGAATCAAGACAGTGGCCAGTAGGTGGCAGAAGTATTACTGCTTTAACACAACAGACAGGTGTCACACCTTTCAGACAGCAGGAATATTTCTCTGTCCATAATGTGAATTAGGATGAAATGTTCTTTTTACGCCTCCGTGGCAGACAGTGTCCGTCCCATTCCCCAGAACGTGATATCTCAAGAGTTCCTTATGGAAATTTCTTATGGAACCTCACAAAATGTCCGGTGCAAACTCAGACACTCAGCATAGTCCACCAATGTAAGTTAATTTTATATTGAAAGAATAAAACCAGGATGTCACAGAGTAGAGCTCGTTCAACGGCCCTCAAACTAAAGCTGCAGCTAATTCTCCTCATCGACATCAGTCCTCCAAATGTTCCTTTTTTTCATCAAGATCCATGAATTGTTTCCTGGGAACTCAAGGAAAAGATTAAAGAAAACTACTAGAAAGATAAAAACATTTCTTGATCGGCACCAGAAATGAATGAGCTCCTTCACTTTCTCTCACTTGGTAAGGTTTGTGCGGTTTTCAGTCTTTTCACAGTTTTCATGTTTCCTGGTGAAATGAATCAAACACATTTAGAGGACTGATATCTGTGAGAGTGCGTAATGTGCTGCAGCTTGACTGACTGTGAGGAAACTGTTGGACCTCGACGGAGGAAGGAAATTCTACTTTATTCTACTTAAAAGTTCGGTTCAATACAAGAAAAATGAGACGTAACAATAAAGGAATCTTGATTAATAACGATCCTCTCATCTTATCCCGGGAAGAAAATGAGTGAGTGTACCATTCTCCTCATTCCCTCCGAGTTCAGGCGGCCTTCCTCTTTGCCTGCAGTCGTCACATCCTTCACGTGCGTCCCACCTTTCATTGAGGGATAAATAAACAAGTGTGCTGCTGGTTTGAAGCCGCTGCGGGCCTTCATTACAGGAGCTAATCTGGTTCTGAAAAGCGTTTCCTCCCTGCTGCTCCAACCTGCATTCAGACGCTATTACAAACCTCATCTGCATCACAACACACACAGATTAGGCTAATGGCGTTAGTGGATCATCGTTATTATTGCCGCCATTATCATTATTATTAGTTTAAACTCAGCTGCGGCCCTGTGACGGAGGGATGGACGTGTTTTTTAGTGTGAAAACAGAAAATTGATTTTCTACTTTGGTAATTCAGAAGAAAAGGAGGAGATTCAGCTTTTGTGTTTGTGTCATGGTGGCAGGTTTTTAAAAAAAGACTCCTCTCCACTAATCTCACACACAGAAAATCACCTGAGGGGAAACAGACACAGACACACACGTTGTGCATCACTTGCACACTTAACTTTTTAATTCTCTTGTAAAAAATTTAAAAATTCTCTCCCCTTCTGCAGATTTGTGGCGTTCGATCGTGAAACTAAAACATTTAAATCCAAGCTGCCTCTAAGTCACTCACATACTCAGCAGAGATTAGCTGCTGTATGGAACCTCAGGGAATCTCATTCACATGGAAAACCACTTCTTAATTCTAATTGGTGGCCAGTGTAAATCCTCCACTCCTTTTTAAAGCAGTTCGTCTTCCTGCTGCTTCTCTTGTTCCTCACATCGAACCAGCAGCTCACCTCCCAGGTCAGTTTGTCCCGCGGACCCAAAGTAAAGCAGCTACAGAGTCTGGGAGATTTTTACTTCGAAGAAAATCAATGCACGGAACTTATTTTCCCCAGGAATCAGAATAACTTTGTTTTGGTTGAAGTCAATAGTTTTGGGAATCACACTTTTTGCCGTTTATTGATCAGTCGTCATGGCGTCCGCTCTGGCTCCCGGATTAGTATTTTCCATTGATTGGATTCTGGGTTCGGAGCTGGAAAGACCGGGAAACTGTCTGAAACTCCACAGACCGTGGGCAGGTGAGGGGCTTACGTTTTGAATTTGGATCCTATTCTCACTCCATCACTTTAGCTAAGTTTTAAAAATAAGTCTTGTGACTTTTTTTCAGTGAAAGCTGTTTTTTAAAAGACAGTTTATTTCCAAATTTTCTATTTTGGCTTGTTAACACCCACATGTAGTTTTGATTAGGACGTACCTGTTATTCACTTCTATCTTTATCATTGGTTTGTCACTTTAATACTTTTTATTTTTCTCATCTCTCAGTCTTAGTTTGCAGGATTCTCTGTGTGTTGAGTTTTTTTTATTTAGCCTTCTGTTCTTATAGTACTGCAGTACTGCTTTAAGTTTTTGCAGTCTAGTAATTTACGTTTTCCAAAATATGAATAATATTCTACTGATATATTTTTATTTTGTTATTTTTGTGGGCACCATGAAAACTAATTTAAGCTTATTTAGTTTCTTGAGCTGCTCCATTAAATGTTTAAGTTATTGCCTCACTGTAGTAAAATACATTTTACTACAAACAAAAACTAAATCCCAGAGTTGTTTTAACAGAATAGTTTTAACAGAGTAGTTTTAACAGAGTAGTTTTAACAGAGTTGTTTTAACAGAATAGTTTTAACAGAGTTGTTTTAACCCACTAGAAAATATGTGTTTGTGTTAAATTAGATTTTGTCGAAAAACAAATCAATCTTTTCAGCCAAACCTTGTAAACGTTCTGTCAGTGTTTTGTAAATTAATTATTTCTCATATTTTAATTCTAAAAAGTGGTAAACGTTTGACATTCTGCTCTTTTATTTAATATTCTCTCATCCACCCAGAGGTCGGAGCAGAGAAGGAGAACAGAGGAAACAGTCTCGGCTCCAAACATCAACACTGTTACACACAACAAGAACAACAACATATGAACTCTCACAGGTCGACATCCAACTGGTACGTGGGACGCAGACCACGCACTGCCTTCACCAACAGCCAGGTAATCACCTGATCACCTGATCAATCAATCGATCAGCTGATAATTCAATCATTCACACTGATAAATCTCTGTGTGTGTGTGTGTGTGTCCTGCAGGTGAATGTCCTGGAGACAGTGTTTCAGGTGAACTGTTACCCAGGCATCCAGCTGAGGGAGCAGCTGGCAGGGAGACTCAACCTGGACGAGGACCGAATTCAGGTTCAATCAATCAATCAATCCACCAATCAATCAATCAACCAATCAATCAATCAATCAATCAATCAATCAATCAACCAATCAATCAATCCACCAATCAATGATTTATATAGCTCATTTTCACACATCACAATTTTCCTCACAGGCTGAACGATCTGTACAAAGAGCGTTATCTCCTCTTCTTAACACTCGATGAGGAAAAAAAACACACTATTTCATTTTGAAATTTAAAAAACACTGTCTACTAACTTTGCTGCTTCAAACTACACCTCACAAAGTCGTCTGTTTATAATCTGTTTATCCCCAAAATTAACTGAATAACTACATGAAATCATTTATCTACTTTATGACTAGTTGCCATTTTCTGACGTATAGTTTGTCCTCTGTCTTCCTCTCAGATCTGGTTTCAGAACCGACGAGCCAAAATGAGGCGTTCGCTCAGAGAAACCCGTCTGCAGCTGGTCCAGACGGCCGTGGCCGACCTCGGGGTCAGACACCAGGTCGTAGGTCAACTGAAGGTCAAGCGGGACGTGGGAGAGGGCGACCTGGATCTCTCCCAGCAGCTCGCCTCTCGTCTCCAGCTTCAGGTGGACGAGTGATGCCGAGGAACTTTTATCATTGGGACTGTTTCGGATCATGTGCACGACTGTGAGCGTCCACTTCACTCATCATCATTCTTCCTCTTTCTCTGGACTCTTTCTTTGTTTGCTTTTAAAGCCTCAAATAACTTTAACATTTTCACAACCCAGCTGCTTCTCTGTCTTGTCTTATTCTTATTTCAGGGTTTGGTGTTGCCTGAACGGCTTCTCTCTGATTGTCACTAACTCAGAGGAATTATTTAAATCCGTTGCCATGAAAACTTGATCTTTTTGGGACATTAAGCTTTGTCGTAATGAGCTCTGCTCTGAATCTCTCT